GTCTAAAAATGACCTGGTGAGAGGAAGTAGACACATTGATCCGAGCATAATTATGTCCGTGAGAGAAGTGTGTGCCCTAATGACCACCACCGCTGGAGGACTGTTGGCGGGGGGGGGGGGGGGGGTCGTTATGTGGCATTAGTGGAATTTAAAGTTTAGCCCTTGGCATGAGCGGCCAAATGCACCTGGACCAATAGGTCCACCCACGGACCAGCCGAGACGAGAGGTGCAGTAGGTACAGCCATGAGCAGGCCGGCTTTAAGTGGGGTCCACGGTAAGGACCTATCAGACCCAGTTCTGCATCGGCAGGAAGTGGGTCACTGGGCTGTGCTTCTCCGTGGGTCCAGGAGTGTGTGGGTGAACCCACGTTACCCCCTCCAGTACCCTCGGTCACTAGCCAGTCACTCAAGGTACCCTCGTACACCTGTCCCTCACACAAGGTACACTTGCTAGGCACTCAGGATGGGAGAGTACACCCGCCAGTCACTCAAGGGTGGCAGAGTACACCTGTAGCATGACTGGATGCCAACAGAGGGCCGCCTCGGGTCATCCTCTTTAACCCACCAGATGCTCTAGTAACGATTTCCAGTGTGCGCGCTCCACCCCACTCCCGGCCCGGCCTAAAATACTTCACACAGTCAAATTTAGCACAGTCACTTACCGCCTGTCTGCTTGCTTGAATATCTTGAGTGAAGGTTGGTGATGGATGTGGTGACGTTGGTGGAGCTGGATGCTGCGGTAAAGCATGATGGGAGAGGGGAGAAAGATGGGGTGTGGAGGGAGCACACAAATGGCTACTAGAGTTCAATTCCATTAAGTGTAAAAGGCTCTAGTTTGTACCTTTGTCATGCTTGTCTCCGATGAATATAGTATTATAGGATGAAGTACCCCGTGGGACAGTCAGTATAGCTTTTTAATGATAGCTGGGAAAAGTGAGCCCAAGAGCTACAGCGTGATCCTGTATATTTACTAGAAGTGGACATAGCCGCTACCCTCATCCATACGTAGGTTTGATAACGTATGTCAGAAGTGGGGCCATGAAGCTGAAGCCATGCCATGCAAGCTGTCAGGTATACACAAACATTCACACATACACATTGTTGTAGGTATACACAAACATTCACACATACACATTGTTGTAGGTATACACAAACATTCACACATACACATTATTGTAGGTATACACAAACATTCACACATACACATCGTTGTAGTCCAAACTACGTCTCGCTCGTAAAGCGTTTCACACTTTGCTTACACGAAGGTATATTTTCTTTGATGGGTTTCTGTTCATGATATTTTCACAGCAATGTTCCCTTGCGGTGATTCCAAGGATCATCGACCCCACGGCCCGGTCTTTGACCAGCCTCCTGGTCGGTGGCTTGATTAACCAGGCTGTTCTGAGGCGGCTGCTGGGAGCCTGACGTATCAATCTGGTTGATCGGAGACTGGTTGATCAGATATCCTCTGGAAATGATTATCGAATTCTCACACCATGAGAGGGTCGGCCAGTTATGTGTAGCGGCAGCGTGTTGAAAACTCTTGAGCCTTTGATGTTGATAAGAGTTCTCTCTCACTGTGTCCATTACACCTCTGCTTTTCTACGGAACTATTTTGCACATCCAGTGGTTCCTCTTAGTCTCATGTGATGTTATTTCCGTGTACAGATTTTTATGCAGTCCCTCTAATATTTTCCATGTATACATTATTGTGTAGCTCTCCCGCCTGCACTTTAGGAAATACAGATTTAACATTTTGAATCGGTGCCAATAATTTAGATGTTTTAGTGAGTAGACTCTAGCAGTAAAATATCTTTACACACACTCCAGGTCAGCAATTTGTCCAGCTTTGAATGGGGCTGTTGTTGTGAAACAATATTCAAGTTGTCCTCTTACTTAAATTGGCGGCTGTCTCCCATGGTGCAGTCATCAGTTTTAACATATTGTGTATTATTACCTCATAGCCTTATATATATAGCCTCATATATACCTCATGTGTATATATATATATATATATATATATATATATATATATATATATATATATATATATATATATATATATATGTATATATATGTATATATGTATATATATGTATATATATAAACATCATATATAATATAAATTAATATATAATTTGCTCTCATATATAAATATAATTGACTCGTATATAAATTAATATATAATTGGCTGTCATATATAAATTAATATATAATTTGCTCATATATAAATTCAATATATAATTTGCTCTCATAAATTAATAGTATTATATATTAAAGTTATAGGTATAGATAAACGTAGGTTACATTAGGTGTTTAGGTTATGTTGGCAATTATTTGTGTTTGAAGGAACCCATTATCAGACAAAATCCATTCCATCCAGTGATCGACCCCAAATAGGCAATCATAAATTTTAACATGCTGTTCATTCAAAATAGTAATTTTCTGAAATAAAAATTAATATTGTTATATTAGCATACTGTGAATATTTTGGCTTTGATTAGGTTAGGTATTTAGATTCTGTTGGCGATTATTTGTATTTGTAGTCTGAGGTTGGTCTGAGGACGGGTTGCTTCAAATGCCTCATCCATGAACTACAAATACACCTAACCTAGATCTTATATATATACACATTATTCCAACGTATACTTGGACACATTGGGACGGAGACATCTCCCGTCACGCAGGGTGCAGTCGCACCTTCACAGATCTCCAGTATCAGCTCTTGATACTGGTAATGGCTCAAAAGGGCCTCCACTTACGGGCTATTCATGCCCGTGCCAATTTTTATGTGACTTAATCTTCATCATTCAATCAATCAACGTATACTATTAATTTGTATTTGAGAAAAATGGGGAATATGAATGCAGAGTGCGGACAAAAATTATGAATGCGTCTTAGGGTCGGCCGCCACTTGGGGCAAGCATAGTTGCTGTATTACTTGAGCATTTGTCCAATGGTGTTGAAGATATTTTGAATTATGGTTATCGGAGAACGACCGGTTGAAGGGGGACATTTAGACAAGCACTGGGAACGGTGGAAGTGTTTGGTTCAAGGTTCGTCGGATGGGCAAACGATGGCTGCGCTGCTGTTGTTTTTTAGATTCAGCTACTGGGAACAAAAGGTTGTAAGTAGCACGGGCTATGGTGAGCCCGTAGGATGGCTGCACATTATTGCATATTGATAAATGTCCCTGGAGGTGTAGGTGGTGGGTAGTAGGAGCTCTTGTCTCGGCTACCCCCTCCCCCCCCTTTCCCTCCTGCCTCCTGTAGTTTGCCAGCCATGCCGTCTGCCACCTAGCCAACCATGCCCTCTGCCACCTAGCCAACCATGCCGTCTGCCACCTAGCCAACCATGCCGTCTGCCACCTAGCCAACCATACTCACAACCTGTGAATACCAGCATTATCCTCACTTTAATAAGACTTAATTGAAATCCTCAGATTACGCAAAATTGTAATTAATTTTGTCAATAAAGATGTTAATAATACTCATAACCACGCCGCTCGTTTGATGTGGGCGCTGAATGTATTGACTATCTTTATTTTCTTCGCAAAATTATTACGTATATAATTATTATTATTATGGAAATATTTTGCCAGCGTCCGTAAGACCTGTGACGTTGAAGCAGTTACCACCCCTGCTTGCCCAGCCTGTTCTTGACACTGTCAATAATGGAACTGTTTTGCCTGACCAGAAACTTGCCAATCCACGCAGCCCACTTAATGTATCAAGGCCGCAGCCCGTCCTCCACACAAAGACCCAAATGTAATTCCATGCACCCGCCAAACCCGCTGTTTATGAATGAAAACCGGTTTACACACGACTCACAACTGATGACGTACGAACACTTCTGGAACAAGTGCTTTACTGCCGAATTCTGTTCAAACCACAACCCTATAAATGCTTCACCCACGTACTACAAATAATCGCCAACATAACCTATACACTTAACCTATGCCTATATATGCACAATATGCCAATATATTATATTAATTTATATTTGAGAAAATTTCCGTCTTGAATGAACATCATGTTAAAATTGATGATTACGCCTGTGGGGTCGACCGCTGGATATAATGGACTTGAGTCCAGGACGGGTCGCAAGGCCGATGCATAGAAAACGTCAATATTACGGTCCTATAATTTGTATTAATACGTCGCATTTTTGACGGACTGAACGATTACGTAAGAAATGCTGTATATCAGATGATAGGACACGTTGAAGCAACTTCCACACTCTAACCCGCGCCCAAATTGTATATCCCGAGGCACAGAAGAGCTTAACAAATGATCCCGAGTCGCAAATGCCATTCTTTGTATTAGCAAATGTCATTAGGAGTGTGTGAAGGTGGTGTCTGGGGCCGGGTGCTAGAACTGGTGAGGTTATTGTGCAACATTATATTGTGTTACATGTTTGTGTTCGTTCCGTCCGTTGTTAGCGTGACCCAAGGAACACCGCCAGGGGGTGACCGTAGCATGATGCTACTCGACCCTCTCTCTCTCTCTCCCCCCTTCCCCATTCACCCATCACCCCTGGGGTGGGGGGGAGGAGGGGTGCAGCGACTGGTGGAGGACGCAGACGGCTCACAAAGGTTACTCACACCTGTAAATATTGATCACGTAATTGGAGTTGCCGGAAGTCAAGGCTGGCCCAGCTGTGGACTCGCTGGTATAGAGAAAATGGGTATCAGTCAGGGTAGAAATAATAGAATACCAGGCTATTTAATAATAGAATACCTTTCTATGTAATTCATTCTTATCTACTGTAATGCATTCAATTGCAAATATATATATTAATAAGTGGTATGGTCTTATTTGATCAACATGTTGAATTGTGTGTTGTATGAGTTGAACTGATCAGGTAGATTATGACTGCTATTGACGTGACAGGTGTGTGTGACAGGTGTTGTATGGCAGGTGTTGTACGGCAGGTGTTGTACGGCAGGTGCTGTATGGCAGGTGTTGTGATCAGTGTGTACTTACCAACTGTGTGTTGCAGGGAGAGTGACCATCGGCCGAGAGGGACAGGAGGCGGCCAACACTTGCACTATGGCTGAGATGGAAGGTAAGTGCCGCGTGGCGGGGTTAGTGCCGCGTGGCGGGGTTAGTGCCGCGTGGCGGGGTTAGTGCCGCGTGGCGGGGTTAGTGCCGCGTGGCGGGGTTAGTGCCGCGTGGCGGGGTTAGTGCCGCGTGGCGGGGTTAGTGCCGCGTGGCGGGGTTAGTGCCGCGTGGCGGGGTTAGTGCCGCGTGGCGGGGTTAGTGCCGCGTGGCGGGGTTAGTACCGCGTGGCGTGGTTAGTGCCGCGTGGCGGGGTTAGTGCCGCGTGGCGGGGTTAGTGCCGCCTGGTTAGTGCCGCGTGGCGGGGTTAGTGCCGCGTGGCGGGGTTAGTGCCGCGTGGCGGGGTTAGTGCCGCCTGGTTAGTGCCGCGTGGCGGGGTTAGTGCCGCGTGGCGGGGTTAGTGCCGCGTGGCGGGGTTAGTGCCGCGTGGCGGGGTTAGTGCCGCGTGGCGGGGTTAGTGCCGCGTGGCGGGTTAGTGCCGCGTGGCGGGGTTAGTGCCGCGTGGCGGGGTTAGTGCCGCGTGGCGGGGTTAGTGCCGCGTGGCGGGGTTAGTGCCGCGTGGCGGGGTTAGTGCCGCGTGGCGGGGTTAGTGCCGCGTGGCGGGGTTAGTGCCGCGTGGCGGGGTTAGTGCCGCGTGGCGGGGTTAGTGCCGCGTGGCGGGGTTAGTGCCGCGTGGCGGGGTTAGTGCCGCGTGGCGGGGTTAGTGCCGCGTGGCGGGGTTAGTGCCGCGTGGCGGGGTTAGTGCCGCGTGGCGGGGTTAGTTCCGCGTGGCGGGGTTAGTTCCGCGTGGCGGGGTTAGTTCCGCGTGGCGGGGTTAGTTCCGCGTGGCGGGGTTAGTTCCGCGTGGCGGGGTTAGTTCCGCGTGGCGGGGTTAGTTCCGCGTGGCGGGGTTAGTTCCGCGTGGCGGGGTTAGTTCCGCGTGGCGGGGTTAGTTCCGCGTGGCGGGGTTAGTTCCGCGTGGCGGGGTTAGTTCCGCGTGGCGGGGTTAGTTCCGCGTGGCGGGGTTAGTGCCAAAGCGTGTCCTCTACCTCTGGCAAAACGTTCCATTATCACTCACATATATAAGGTTTAGTTTAGACACTGTGCCCAACCTGTCCTCTTAAAAAGAACGTCGCTTTTGGCCGTTTGCCCGTATGGCCGAATTTGGACGTAATTTGAAATTGAAAAAAATATGAAAATAAATTTGGGATTTTTTTTTTCAACAACAGTAAGTTAAGGGTCCTCTGATAGGTTAGGTGGGCAGGAAATTCTCATAAAGTTTCAAAACGTTATGAAAAACGTTAATTTAAAGTGTCCTCTTATAACCTCTGCGCGTACGCCGGACGGCTCAAATAGAAAACGGAACAGAACGTCACTTTTGTGAGTGGATTTCATTTCAAATTACGTCCAAATTTAGCCATATCGCGCATACGAGCCAAAAGTGACGTTCTTTTTAAGAGGACGGGTTGCTGTGCCATAGTCTCGTCGCGAATAGTTCTAACTAAAGACATTGATATTACTAACCTGATAGTTGTTGTTGATGGGGAAATTATAACCAAAGGAATAGTTATTAAGGACTAGTCATTGTCTTAAGAAATCTCTCCTGCTCAGTACCCTCTTCCCTTTTCAGAGCAGGAGAGAGTTCTGAAATAGAAGGAATACAGAGAACCTATACAGCATGTATAGAAACGATAAAACATCTGAATTATTGGGACCGTCTCAAAGCTCTCATAATGTACTCTCTGGAAAGGAAACAACAGATGTACCAAATATTATATACATGGAAGATACTGGAGGGCCAGATCCCAAATTTGCACAGTAGAATAACACATAGGAGCGAAAGATGCGGAAGGAAATGCAAAATAGAAACATTGAAGAGTAAAGGTGCCATAGGCACAATCGAAGAACACTATCTGAACATCAGGGGTCCCCGGCTGTTCAACACCCTCCCAGGAAGCATTAGAAATATTGCCGGAACAAAGGTGGATGTCTTCAAGACGCATTTAGAAGAGTTCCTGCAAGAAGTGCCGGACCAACCGTGATGTAGTGGATATGTGGGTGGGCCTGCGGGCCGCTCAAAGCAATAGCCTGTTGGACCAAGTTATCACAAGTCGCCGGGCTCGGGGAGTAGAACTCCCAGAACGCCATGGTCAAGGTCATTGGTGCCATACGCCTACTTTATGGTGGTCTTGGGGGTCTGTCATTATAGTGTTCTTTGTTATGCTGATCAATATATATACCGTAGTATATATATATTATAGTCAGTGTGTGGTGCACGCCTGTAAGAGGTGCTCCTGCAAGACTGGACGTCTGGTAACCAGTAGTGTCTAGTAGTAACCACCCAGGGAGGGTGGGGGGGGGGAGGCTTGACCTGTGGTAACCGGTAATGACCCAAGACGAACACACCGGAAACTGTTGCAATGTGTAATGGTCTCTTGTTACGGTTATAGCGAGAGTTGAGTAGCGCCACCTTGACGTATGGTGAGTGAGGCAGGAAGGGCCACGATCAATAGTGCCAAAGACACACACAAAGGAGATGTTGGGTGCTCCAGTTGGTGCCTAACTGGTGCCAGTGACCCCTCGTCTGGCACTATGGTGATGTTGGGTGCTCCAGTTAGTGCCTAACTGGTGCCAGTGACCCCTCGTCTGGCACTATGGTGATGTTGGGTGCTCCAGCTGGTGCCTAACTGGTGCCAGTGACCCCTCGTCTGGCACTATGGTGATGTTGGGTGCTCCAGTTGGTGCCTAACTGGTGCCAGTGACCCCTCGTCTGGCACTATGGTGAGAGGGCTACCTTAAAATAAAGTAACTGCCACAACTGCAAGAAAAATTGTCGTCTGGATAACAAGAATCTTTCAACAAGAGATGCCAAAACAACAATGTTTGCTTATAAGACATCACGACTCTCTTTTAGTTTAGTTCATTTATTATGCACCCCATACCCATCTTGTGGGCGTAGTGGAAAGGGTTACAGAGACACATAATGGGCTCAGGGACTGAACTCCACAATTAATTTAGCTAAGCAAGTTACAATCTTGATGAGCTAGTTACAAAATTCAGTATAAGTCGTCACATCAACAATGGGTTCGAGATCAACCTCAAGTACAGTTTCTAAATTAAGCAACTGACATATGTGGAGAGCTAGTGTCATAATTTATGTTTGTCACTCTCTAAGAGTGGAATTTTGTTGTGCACTGAGTGCTTCATCCAAGGCTGAAGTAGTTGGCTGATCGTGTATGTTATCTTGAGATGATTTCGGGGCTTAGTGTCCCCGCGGCCCGGTCCTCGACCAGGCCTCCACCCCCAGAAAGTAGCCCGTGACAGCTGACTAACTCCCAGGTACATATTTACTGCTATGTAACAGGGGCATCAGGGTGAAAGAAACTCTGCCCATTGTTTCTCGCCGGCGCCCGGGATCGAACCCGCGACCACAGGATCACGCGTCCAGTGTTCTGTCCGCTCAGCCACCGCTCCTGTGTAGAGAACATTTACTGTTCAAACTCCTTTAAATAAAACTAATTTCTTGGGGCTACTTTTAAGCCCTCGGAATACACTCTCAGGGATTTAGGCCAAAGACATGCATTATAATTTACACCGGAGAAATACTAGAGGAACTAATTCGAGCTCCTTACTATGCTCCTTACAGGGCATAGTAAGGAGTTACTATGCTCCTTACAGGGCATAGTAAGGAGTTACTATGCTCCTTACAGGGCATAGTAAGGAGTTATTATGCGCCTTACAGGGCATAGTAAGTAGTTACTATGCTCCTTATAGGGCATAGTAAGGAGTTACTATGCTCCTTATAGGGCATAGTAAGTAGTTACTATGCTCCTTACAGGGCATAGTAAGGAGTTACTATGCTCCTTACAGGGCATAGTAAGGAGTTACTATGCTCCTTACAATTCATAGTAGGCATAGTAACTCCTTACTAGGCATACCAGAGTATGTAATGTAAATAGATTTAAAAGTAGGAGTGCCATAAGTAAACTAATAATAATTTTACAAGCAATAAGGGGTCATGGTTTCTCAATGACGTGTGAATGTAAGGCGTATACTTACCGGAGCTGTGTGCTCAAGAGGCAACTTGGTACACACTTCTACTTGTCCGGAGGCTGGCACCGGGAGTCTTCTCTACAAGGTGTTCCAGGGGCTTGTTGCACGTGGCCCTGACCAGCTCCTCTGGGAACTTGAACATCACCCCGCGGCAGTTGTCCTCCAGTGTGAACTGTAAGCCTTCTGTCTCAAGCCCACCCAGCCCACGCGACCCACCTAACACGAGGAGGAAGGTACAAGAGAGAGAGAGGGGGGGGGGGGGGGGTATGAAACGACAAGGCTGTTCATAATCGGAAGTGACCTGCTGTATTGAGGGTTAAATACTTGAATTAATCTTGTTCGCCGTTTAAGGTAAACACCTCCCAAGTGTAGCAGATCAACGGGTCTGTGATTCCTACGTCAGAGTCTATGTTGCTGCGTCCAACAGGCTGGTTAACCAAGCCGCCAACCAGAAAGCCTGTTCAGTGACCTTACCTTAACTTGCAGTTAAGGTGATTTCGAGGATCAACGTCTCCGCGGCCCGGTCTCTGACCAGGCTTCCTGGTTGGTCTGGTCAACCAGACTGTTGGACGCGGCTGCTCGCAGCCTGGTCCAACAGTATGAATTAGAGCCTGGTTGATCAGGTATTCTTTGGATGTGTTTTATGGAATTATATATGTGTTTTTTCTTTTGAACACGGTGGGAGTCCAACCAGTTATGCCTCTTACGTGTAGCGGGAGTGTGTTGAAAAGTCTCGGCCCTTTGGTGTTAATAGTTCTCTCTCAGCGTACCTGTTGCACCTCTGCTTTTCATCAGGGCTATTCTGCACATTCTACCATGCCTCCTGGTCTCATGTGGTGTTATTTCCGTGTGCAGATATGGAACCAGTCCCTCTAATAGTGATCCTTACAACCTCCTTGTAGCCACCCGACCCTCCGCTCTGCCTTACTACACACACTTTCCTCTTCCGACTTTTATTTTTTATATACACAAGTG